AGGGAAGGACAGCATCTGTCTTGCTCACTTCTGTGTTCCTGACACTTAGCATAGGACCTGGCCTGTAGTAGGGCTCAATAAATATTTGTTCATTAAATGAAGGCTCGCCCCTCCCTCCCCCCACCATCTGTCTTAGCCTGGATGAGGGAGAGCTGAGCCTGCCTGGAGGCCTCTGTCCGGCTCTTCAGCAGGAAGTATGAAGGGGCACAGGAGGGAGGGGGAGGAGGCCACACACAGGGGGCGTCACGGAGCCGGGCCACCCCCTGGCATTGGGACGATTGTCGGAGGTGGCATCTTCCCAGAGGTGACTGAAGATACTTTTGGGAGGGGCAGGCAGGTGGAGAGGGGAAGAACTCAGGTCTGGCTTCCAGCTCCCTATGGTCAAGCCCCCCTGCCCAACCCTGGCCCCCTACCCCATGAAGTGTTAAGTCTTGGCAAATCAGGGTTGTCCTTGGGTGGGTCCAGAGTGTCCCTGGGTGTCTCACGCACCTCAGCTGCCCCTGAGAGACCCCACGACAGGTGGCAAGAGGGGAGTGGGATGGACATGAGCATGGTGAAGCTGCTCAGAGTCCACTCCAGGCAGGAGCAAGGGGCCCGAGGCCCCGGAGACAGGCGAGGCCAGGACAATGTGCAGAGACCCATCAGAGGGGCCTCCTGGCTCCGTACCGGTCATGCCAGCACAGGTGGGTGTTTCCCTCATTGTTGAATGTCTGTGTCCCCGGAAACACTCCCTGATTCAGTTGGTGCCCATATTTCCACCCTGAGTTCAAGGGACAGTGGGGGAAGGATCCGCACTTCCAAATCCTGTCCCTCATGCCTTGCAGGGTTAGGCTCTAACATGGGCCCTTCTCTGGGAGTCTGCTTCCCCCACCCGGGGAGCCTCCCTCCTCCCGGCCATTCTACCTTGCCCCCCACTCACCCCCCTCCCTCACTCCCAAACCTCTTTTCTGCTTCTTGGGCACTGAAGTTCCAGCTGTTAAAAGAGGAAACATAGATGTCCTTGAAAGATGAGGCAGAACCAGACTTTTGAAAGGCAGTAAATAAGGTTGGACGAGAGGACAAGAGAGGCAATCAGCCGCTGCTTTTCCTACTTGGAGAGAGTCATGTAGCAGCCATCAGACTCTGCTCTCAGCCCAGTGAAGGCCCATGAATCACTCTCCTCTTCGGGGAGCCCTCGCCACACGGGATCTTATATCAGCTGGATGCCGAGACATTCAGGAAGCGGGAATGGCCTCTTACCAGAGGCAGTGGTGTCCTGGGATGTTCAAGAACAACGCAGTGTGCCTCAGTTCTGGAGGCTCCTGGCTGCAAATCCCAAAGACGCCGATCCCAACTCGAATAATCAAGAAGAACAATATTGCTTGTGTGACCACCGGTGCAGAGGTGGGACACCAGGCTTGGCTGGTTCAGTGGCTTGAGGACACTGTCCCCAGAGAGAGTTTCCTTTTTTCTCTCCACCCTGCTGTCCACCATGTCAACTTTGTTCTAAGACTGGCTCATCTCATAGTTGCCAGACAGGGCCACAGGCTTCCTGTCCGGCTGGGGAGAGAATCTCTTCCACCATTGTGAAATGCAAGTCCTTCCATTCTGTCTGGGTTGGCATTCCAGGACAGGCACCAACTCCTGTGGTGGGAACAGCACCCAAGACCTGATAGGATTAGGCTAAACAGGTCCCCACCCGCCGCCACCCCACTGCTGGGCCTGCGGTGGGACTCAGAAAACCTGGCGATCTGGAGGAAGGGCAGCATGGAGAGGATGGATATTGGTGGACACCCAAGAAAACCCCAACTATGTGCCCTGGAGCTGCATTTTAAGCTCTTATCAGAGGCTCCTGAGCTCTTCAGGGGCACACAAATGAAGACCCAGTGAGTAGGGAGGAAGGCCGACCCAGGCCTTGCAGAGACTGGAGGCAACGCAGAGCGAACCTCACTCAGAATTGAGCCCAATGATTATTTTCCCATGAAAAATGCAGAATGAGCCAAATCTGATTCAGCTGGAAATCCATCAACATAACCCTCTTCTGAAGTGATTGAACTGGGATGAAATCAAATATGAAACTACAAAAGTATCCCCCAAACCAGCCAAACAACCTTAGTTCTGGACCCAACAAGTGACAACAGGGTGGCTCCAAGAAGGGGCTGGGTGTCCAGCGGCCAGTGGGAAGCCTTTGCGCTGAGGAACAGGAGGGAGCAGCAGGGGCTGTCGCTGCTCAGCATCCAGCATCCAAGACAGACATGGACTTTTTTTTTTTAGAGAAGCAGCTGCAGGGCTGTGGAAGTGACGCAAATTTGGTGTCAAAATATCTGGAGGCTGAACTATATACCACTTGTCAATGATATGACCTTGAACTTCCTCAAGCCCTTTTCCTTGTTGTACAATAGTATAATAAGGATAACCCAGACTTGGATGAAATGTTGGAGGTGGGCGCCACTTTGTGGAGGATAAAAAGATGTGGGGACATCAGTCGTTGCCCCAGTCAGGAGGGCAGCCCCCCCGCCACCACCCCGTCCCCTCCCCACTCGCCACCCTGCTTTCCAATCCGCCCCTCCTTCAAGTCTAGCTCATGCCCTGGCTCCTCCCTAATGCCCTCCCTGGCCTCCCAGACCCCTGCTTGCCCTGTGCACGCACCGTCAGCTCCCACCCCCTCCCCTCCACAGACACCTACACAGACTGCCTGCCGCCCCCGCTTCTGGAACTGCTGTCCCCAAAGGCCAAATACACCTGTTATTTACTCTCCAGTGAGTGACCAGCTCCCCAGATCACCTGTACCTGCAAATAAAGAGCTGTGTCTCCTACGTCCTCAGAGGTCAGAATGTAGGAGTGGCACCCGCCTAGAAATCACCTGTCCTTTGAGGGGACACCTCAGAGAGGTGAAATGACCTGCCAAGAGCTGCTTGGCTCTGGAGGTCGGGTCAGCACCAGGAGCCAGGCCCCTTGGTGCCCAGTGACACAGTCAGTGGGGTGAGGGTGTGAGGGGGGACCTGATTTTGCAGATCATACGGGTCTCTCTGTGGGGGACTCGTCACGACGTGTAAGGGTGACACATGTTTCTGATGGGTGGGTGTTGGGCCTGGCAAAGACTTGAAGGCAGGGAGGGGATCCGGGGCCACAGTGACAGGGGCTCTGGGCCAGGCTGGTCTAGGTATAATCCTGCCACCCCCCCACTGTCTGCTCGTGGGAAGCTTCGTTGCACTGAGGTCAGAAATGCTTTTCGAGCCCCACCGTGGCAGGCACACCCAGCAGAGATCGGGATGGTGGTGCCCTCATTTGGTTGTACTATCGTCCACTGGGCAGTGTTTCCGAGAGAGGAATAAAGTGTTTTTAACCCCCTAAGTCCCTTAGGGTGTTGGGAGAGAAAGGACCACCATGACCCACACGGTGGCGAGGAGACACCAGCTCCTGCCTCTGGCCCCTGGGAGCCCTGGTGATCTCCTCATCTGTTATCCAGACAGTTATGAATCCCTTGTCCCCAAGGTCTAGCCTCCCTTGAGAATGGTCCAGGACAGAGTGTCAGTGAAGGCATAATGTCCAGGATTTGTCCCAGGGTAGTGGAATGCAGAGTGTGCAAACACTGTGAACACATGCTTTGAAATAGTGTGTGTGAACTTGTCAGCGCTGACCCTCTGCAGGACTGCCTCACCCCAGCCCTCCCCTAGGCCCCACGCCCCAGTCCCTGGTCACTCCTGTCACTGGAGAGAGCAGTCTTGACCCCTGACTGGCCCCTCTAGCAGCCACAGAAAGGGGAGAGACAGGAGGGCCAGCACAGGGGAGTAGGAGGCTTCTTGGGGGATGCTGCCATGGCTCCGTACCTGACCCAACTTGAGGGCTACATTGTGGGGTACCCAGCCAGCATGTTGAGATCCAGGTCCAGTCCTCAGTCCCTGATTTCCCTGAGACTGGCAGACCTCTGATATTGCTGCCTGGTATATAAGTCTGAATCCCTCCGGTAGAAGATATCTCAGTCCCTAAGGGAGGGATGAAGATTCCACCTGTCTGTGTGAGGCAGCCCTGCAGACTTCAAGCTTCACAAGCACGCGGGCCTTTGTGTAAGGAAAAAGATGCCCTTTACTCCAGGGGGACTAAGCTCCCACCTCAGGGCACACAGCTGGGCAAGTGGTGCACAGACTGCATTTTGACCCCCATTGCCCCTCATCTAAGCTCCTTTGTGCAGTGCACAAACCATGCAACTAAATATGGCAGCCCTAGCCAGAGTTTTGTATTACATACTCCCTTTGAGCAGGCACTGCGGGCACTGGGGACACAGAAGGAGCAAGACAAGACATGCATGATCCCTGGGCTTACAGGGCTCACACAGGATTGGCCACAAACAGGCCAACCTATGACTACAACAATATAGAGTGAGCTCAAGCCTATCCAGCCAAGAGCATGATGTGGGGAAAGGGAGGGGACAGGCATGGTGGAGGGACTTAATTCACAGCAGGTAGGGAAGGGGTGGTTTCTGGGGGATGGGTTGGGGCCAGGAAATCAGACCCAGAAAGAGTTCAGCCTATCTGAGAAGCAGGGAGGTCAGTGGCTGGAGGGGTGCAAAGGGAGAATTCTGGGACATCAGAAAGGTTAGTGGGGCTGGGTGGGGCAAGTGCTTGAAGGTCACTGCTGGAAGTTTGGATTTTGTTCAAAGTGTGGTGAGACCCCTGGCCCTTCTGAGCCACTGGGTGGAAGAGGGAGTGGGAACCGACCAGAGACAAGTGGCCCGGGGGATAACCCCTGGGGGCTCAGCAGAGGACAAGGATCAGGGGAAGGAGGGATGGTTGAACAGGGCCCAAATCTCACTGGGCCCTGCCACCGCTCATGATGTCATGGATTCTGGTGGGGTTGGAGGTGACATTTCGACTTCTGGGGTGCCTCGCCTTGGAGCAGAAAGGGACCACAAGCCTCACTCTGCCCCTCGTGACAGATCAGGTCATAGTGTCTCCTTTCTGTGGGTGGCACGCAGGTGGGAGGTCCTCTAATGGACTAAGCAGAGTGATGTGTGTTTGCAGTTCAATGTTAAAAAGTCCACGGAGCCCGTGCAGCCCCGAGCCCTCCTCAAGTTCCCAGACATCTACGGACCCAGGCCAGCTGTCACAGCCCCGGAGGTCATCAACTATGCAGACTATACTCTGAGGACCACGGAGGAACCCGCTGTCCCTGCCAGCCCCCAGGCCCCAAAGGACAGCCGCCTCAAGAGGCAGGTCACGGAGGAGCTGTTCATCCTTCCTCAGAACGGTAGGGGTCTCCTGCCCTTGGTTCCCCACCAGGTGGCACTCTGGGGGGCGGGTCTAGCGGCGTCCCTGTAGATGCTGGGCCTAGCCCAGCCCCAGCGTCAGTCCGTAGCTTTTGGCCCTGGGCAAGCAGGTGGGCCCGGGGCCTTGGAACCACAGTGCTTTATTCTCCCAGATATGTTGCTACAGTGCCTCCCTCCAGGGCCTCCAGCTTCCCACCGGGCAATGGAGAGTCCTTTTCAAGTCTGTAGAGAAGTCCTGATTAATGATTAGATCACAGGCTTTCAGAGTCATGGGTTCAGTTCTCATGTACTCGTTGGGTGGCCTTGGTCATGTTGCTAACCTCTCTGGGCCTCAGTTTCCTCATACATAAAATGGGACTGCACTTTCATCTGCCCCATAGGCTTGTTGTGCAGTGTAAATAAAATAATGTGTGTAAAGTGTTCAGCCCAGGGAGTGGCACAAAGGACATAATCACAGCACACTGTTACTATGGTGTTCCTCTTCTCCTTCTCATCAATGTGGACTTCAAGATGTAACACCTTCAGGGGTACGGCGCTATGCTGGGCACTGGGGCAGGTACGCAAAGCAGACACCATCCTTAAACCAAAGGAGCACGCAGGCTTTCACAAGGAGGCAAGAAATACAGCCAGGAGAATGGTTGTTGTGTGGTTTGGGGATTTTGTTTGTGTAGTTGGAGACAGAGATGGTGGAAGAGGAATCAGTGAACTGATTCTGGCATTGACCCCGATTTTTATGCATCTTCTGGCCTGGGTCCAACTGTATTTCATTCTGGCCAGTGGACAGCACCCCCCTCCAAAACCCACCCAGGACCACAGTGATTAGTCCGGCATTTCTTCAAGAACAAATTCACATAGTGCCTGTGGTATGAACGAAGCTGCTCCACTTTTAGCCTCCAGCCTACATTTTATTTTTATTTTAGAGATTTTTTAAAAATTTATTTATTTGAGGGAGAGAGAGAAAAGCATGAGCGGGGTGGGGGGCAGAGGAAGAGGAAGAAGAAGACTCCCTGCTGGCCAGAGAGCCCGATGCAGGGCTCGATCCCAGGGCCTTGAGATCATGACCTGAGCCGAAGGCAGAGGCTTAACCGACTGAGCCACCCAGGTGCCCTGAGAGACCTACATTTTAAATAGACGAAAACAGACCCATTGAGGACTCAAGAGCTTACACTTGGAGGGTGGGGAAGAGCTTGTATGAGGAGCCTTGAGGGTGGATGGTTGGAGTCCTAATTTCTCAAAGCCCAGATGAAGCCAGGATTGGATGCTTTCCACCAGGAAGAACAGGAGAGGATGTCAGAGTCTGGAACTTTGAAAAATTCAGAGCATTAGCTCATCTTCTCTTGGTCATCATTCCTCTTTTTCTTTCTCCCCCCAGAAGCCAAACACCAGCCCTACAGAAAGCTATCAGGAATTAATTCTTCAGCAAATATTGACCACAGGCATGGGTGTGCCACAGAGGGAGATGCCAGATCAATTGGATGTTGTCTCTGGGATGCTGAACATGTCCTACTCCCACCCGCAATGATCCCCAGCACCCCCCGTGGGGCTCAGCGTCCTGCTTCTAGAAGCTGAATCCATTCCGCATTTCCAAGTGATGCTGGCTTTGTTTTGGTTTTGGTTTGGTTTTGAAATTGAAGGCTAAGGTTGTCTGAGAGCAGAGAGCTCTGGGTGCCAGGCCGGCCCTTTCTGTCCCTGACCCTGCTGTGTTCCTCTGTGTAGGACCCTCAGAAGCCACATGGGTCCTGTGTGTGTGTTGGTCTCACTTTACGCGTTGCTCACAGCCTGGTCAATCTGTTCCTGACTTAGACATCAGGGGAATTGTTCACCACTTGCACGAACCTCATAGCGAGGAACTTCATTTAGGAAGTTCAATGGTCCTTCAAGTAGCTACTCTCTAAATTTGTTCTGAAAATCAAAATTTTTTAAATTCCTATCTGCCTCAAGTGGCGTCTGCTACAGCTGCTGGAACCTCTAATTCTTGGAGTGTGTTTGAGTGATGGCAGTCTTCCAGATGTTTGGCTCCAGTGCAATGAAGGCCAAGTGAGCAATCTTGGTGGGTTTAGGAACGTCTGAAATAAAGCTGCGGTCATTCATTGGTTCCACAAGCATTTATTGCACCTGCACTGAAGTCACGTCCACAAGCCCTGACCTTGCCCCCAGCATCTCCTCCTGATTCATTTCTCTCACATTGATCTCTATCCGTGAACTCCTGCAGAGCAAGGATGAGACTCCAGGAGACGCGGAGCTGGAGACCTGAGCTTGGTTTGCCTGAAGCAGGGTGCCTGGACCACACATGCTCTGACAGTTTCCCTTCTCGAAAGTTCACCAGGGGCTGAGTCCTGGGCCAAGTACTTTCCCCACTTTATTTCATTTCGTGCAAGTAACTCTAGGAAGGAGGAACTATGATCATTCCCATGGTAAAGATGAGGAAACTGAGAAGTCCAGGGTCACATAACTATTACAAGGCAACAAGGTGTGACACCAAAGCCTGAGTCTTGCCCACTGGGTGGCGACAGTCCTTCAAAATGTCATCCTGGGACCACAGGTGTCACCCTGGTGTGGCCACCACAATTTGGCCCCCCAGTTATGGAGCTTTCAGTTTGCATTCATGGTGTACGTGGCAGATGGGAAAGCTGTGATCTGGAAAATGGGACCCTAATAGAGGTGGCAGTGACGGCCTTCCCTCTCTTGACAGGTGTGGTTGAAGATGTGTGTGTCATGGAAACCTGGAACCCGGAGAAGGCCGCCAGCTGGAACCAAGCCCCCAAACTCCACTACCGTGTGGACTATGACCGGCAGAAGGCAGAACTGTTTGTGACTCGTCTGGAAGGTATTACTTTTATTTGACTTCCACGGGCTTCCATGTGCCCATCTCCCCTGGAGGAGCTGGGCGGGAGGGATGGGAGCACCTGTGGCAGAGGGAGCACTCTGTAACCAACAGACCCTGAAATGTGTGGGGTTCTCCCCTCCTCCAATAGAACATCCAAAGTGGAGAATCCTGGTTAGCAAACATCTTTACTCCAAGTGGTGATTCAGAGGCCGGGCTCCTTCCATCAGGGGCCCCTCAGTCCTCTCAGGTCTCCTTGTCATCTGTATCTAGCAGGTGGAAACAGAGGGAGAAGGAGGAGAGAGAACAGCCTCCCCCTTAAAAGCCATGACCTGCATAGACCATGCATCCCTCCCGCTCACTCCTGGAACTCATGGTCACTGACTGCCAAGGAGCCTGGGAAGTGTGGCTCAGTGGGTGCTCAGCAGAAAGAGGAAAGGGGGTTTGGGTGACTAGCTAGCTCTCTCTGTCACAGGTGCCTTTGACATTGAATGGAGCTTTGTGCTGGATATGAAGGGTGTTCTGAATGGGCAGCAAAGTTTCTGTAATCCAGGAACTGGGTGGTCTTTCCAAGGGGATCACGATATCCCTGGTGTTCCATCCCCAACAGTTCATTTTGCCATCAGCAAACAAAGCTGAGGCTTAGCTAAAGAATTGGAGCTAACAATAGTCCATTCTATGGCTCCTGGGAGTTGGGAGCTGTGAGCAGGAGAAATCAGACTTTTGTATTAAATGTTATGTTTTTAGGGGGTGTTTTTCTTTATTATTCTCTTTCAAGATTTTTTAGCCTTTTCATATCCTTGAGTGCATTTGGTTTTCACAATAGTCCCATTTAACAGATTAGGTAACTGAGGTCTAGCAACCTCGGGTGACTTGTCTGAGATCGCTCCCGCTATTGGTGCTAAAGCCAGGACTAAACCCAGTGCCCTTGGAGCCGGGTGGAGAGTACTAGCGGGATACGTGGCCTCAGTCCTTCACCTTCTCTTTGGGAAAGGTCAGCTACCCTTTCTCAGGTGATCATTGAGTAGCCAGCCATAAAAGCACCAGGGGTATAAGTTTCTGGAATAAGCCCACCTTGGGAAGCATTAGAAACACCAGAGTTCAGAATGAGAAAACAACAGAGGTAGTGGCCAAGTGATGTGTGTCACAAATGGTTGTGTGGTAAATATTGAAGGTACAGAACAAACAAGAACAGGATCGGAGCACAGAAGTCATCGCCATTCGTGGGTCTTGGCGTCTTGGGGACACGTCAGGGTCATGAGGTGGGTAGGGCTCTGGGAAGGACCCTATCCTGTCCCTGTTCTCCCAGGAACCAGCATGAGCTGACACGGGCTACCTCGGGGGAGTTCCAGCCATGGTGGTCAGCCTGGGGGCTCCTGTGCTCCTGGGGTCATGACCGTGAAGCTGGATACGGCCACTCCAAGCCAGCATGAGCCGCCCCCGTCCCCTAGTTCTTGCGAAGTCCCACGACTGTGTTACTATTTCCCTGGCTGCAGCTGTGACCAGCGGCCACGATGGAGGCTGTGACTGCTACGTCCAAGGCAGTGTGGCCAACAGGACCGGCACAGTGGAGGCCCAGACGTCGCTGAAGAAGCGGCAGCTGCACACCACCTGGGAGGAAGGCCTGGTGCTCCCCCTGGCGGAGGAGGAGCTCCCCACAGCCACGCTGCGCCTGACCTTGCGGACCTGCGACCGCTTCTCCCGCCACAGCGTGCTCGGGGAGCTCTGCCTGGGCCTGGATGGGGCATCTGGGCCTCTGGGGGCCGCCCAGTGGGGTGAGCTGAAGACTTCAGTTAAGGTAGGGTTATGTCTTTCCAGGAAAGGTGAAACCCGTTGGTGGAGCTTGGGGTGATGGGACTGGGCCGGCGCTCACGCAGCAAGCTTCACAGACCCTCCCGGCGCGCGTGCGTGCCTGTGCGTGCAAGGAAGATGAGAGTCGTGGACGGGGTGGAGGGCTGCAGCAGACCACAGCCCAGGCTGTGGAATTCCCGGCGTCTGATTTGCTTCTAGCTTGCTTGCCATCGTGGAAAATGTGTTATGAGTGTGTTATGAGTGTGTGGATTCTAATGCTGACAGTAATACCCCATCTGAATTCATGTACACGCCCTTTGTCCCTCCTATGTGCCAGGCACTGCTGGGGAGATGGGCACCACATAGGACGCCTTTATCCCTAGAACTTACAGACCCAAGAGATAAATTGGAGCAGACAAGTGATGATATGGGACATGGGTTGAATCCTAAGACACCTAACCGAAGTGCTCTGATGGAGAGTTCTAGAAGGCATGGTGGGAAGTAGTGTTTGTGCTGGGCTTTGAAGGACGGACTGGGCTGGGGGCAGAGCCCAGTGCTCTGGGGCCCCTAGCCCTGGTTCCCCGCACCCCTCTGCTGCTGCGGGAGCTGAGAGAGGGAGAGAAGGGTCTGCCGAGAGGCTGAGCTGTTCAGGCGGGGGTTCTTGGAGAACAAACCGGTATTCCTCACAGGCCCGGCAGTGAGGGGTCGGAGAGGTCAAGGCCTTGGGATGGTATGTGGTTATTTAGCCCATCAAGGCCTAAATCAGGATCATTTAGGATCCTTTAGGATCGAGGCCTCCTTCAAGGGTTTGCCACAGTGCAGCCTAGCGGGAGCCTTCCAGGGACCGGTCTCAACCAGCGGATCAGTGCCTTATGGGGGGACTGCATAGCCTACAAAACCCCATGTATTTACTCCCCGGCCCTTTACAGAAAACTTGCTGACTGCTATGCTCGAGTAATAAAAATACTACAAAGGGCATTCATTTTTGAGTACTTACTCTCTGTTCATCTGTTGCTGTGCTTAGAATTTTACTTCAGTCCTTATCTAGAGCAGCTAGGCAGGAACGACACCGAGACTCATTTACAGGGGTGGGGCCTGGGGTCACCCAGCTGGGACACCGCCAGCTTGGCCTTCCGGCCAGCTGGGTCTGGCTCACTCAGTCCTGTGCTGCCCTCTGGTCACCGCCTACGAGGCCCCCCTCCGAGGGGACCTCTCCTGAGGGACACTTTCACTCCCCGCTGGCCCCCTTTAGACTATCATCTCCTCCTCGCCTTATTTTTCTTTCTTTCCCAGCCACAGACACTTGATAAAAATTGACAGCCACTCTCCGCTGGAGCCAGGCTGATCTGCAGCAGGCTCCCTAATGAGTGTGCAATTTGGGCCCCGAGCGGAATCACAGCCCCGGCGTGGGGGAGCGAGGGCTGGGAAGAACATCGGACACTTGTGGTCCATTCAGCTGCCAAACCAGCTTTCTCTGGAGGGGGAGGGCCTCCCCAGGGCTTCAGGGACTTCCAGCCAGACGGCTCAGACCTGCTGTCACTCCCCTAGGAGAGCAAAACGCATCCCTTCATCCTGGGAACACCTTGCCCAATTTCCAGCACGTGCCAGGCCCTGTGCCAGGAGCTGGGGGCACAGCAGTCATTCAAGGGGGTGGCCCTGGCCCCAGCTTGGGGTTGTGGGCTGGGGTGAACAAGGTGGGTGGAGCCCTCCGTGACCACAGCCCTGAGGCCTCTCTCCTCTAGGCCAGAATGGGTTAACCTAGGGGCCGTCTGTGCCCCGGTTCTCGCCGGAAGACACTTAGCCAAACAGTGGCGTCACCCGGGATCGTAGAGCATCTCCAAGGGCATCTTGGATAATTCATTGAGAGCCCAAGAGCAAGTTGGTGGGCAGGGTGAGGCTGCAGAACCGAGGGGCAGGGGCTGCTAAAATTGTCGGTCTGGTACAGACGGGGACACCCCCGGGGCTCTAGGCACCCCGGCACGAAGGGGACGAGCCCCTCACAGGCTGACGCGCCCAGGATCCTCCCGCTTGGCTTCGGGGGAGCAGGACACGGAAGCCAGATTGTCCTGTGACTACAGCCCAGGCCCACCGTGGACTTCCAAGAAGTGGTCTGGAGCCAGGAGGCTGGGCACATCCCTCTGGGTGCCTGGACAGGTCCCTGGGCCTAGCTGCTTCATCGGGGAAAGCTCCGGGTTAGAACTTGGGCTGCGGCATCAGGCCAGACCTCCACTAAGGCTTCGCTTTGCTGCTTCCCTTCCTTGGGCTGCGGGACTTCGGGCAGCGATGTGCCCTCTGGAGGGTCAAGACCTTATGTTCAGAATGGGAACAAGTTAGCGTCGCCAGGGTGATTGTCAAGATTCAGCAGGATGTCTCCCCCTACTTTCTCACAAACATTTATTGCGTGTCAGCTGTAGGCTACGTGCTGGGGAAGGGCTTTGTGGAGCCCCAGCCTCGGCGGGATCGGTAACACAATTGCACCTAGCACACAGTAAGCGTTTAAATAGTCTTCACAGCTATTATTCATGCCCTTGCAAAAGTCCCTGGTAGCTCCCAAATCATTTTGTCATGTGACTAGTTACTTAGGACCAGTTGAATCTTTGGGGTCAGTGGGGTCATGTCGCAGACATCCCCCCACCCTGGAGAAAAGGGGTGACCCGGGCAGAGGGCTGGCCAGCTTCCTCCTGCCTCACTCCCAAAGCCCACACTGGCTCCTATTCATCCAAAAACAATATTCCCACTTAATCATCTCGAAAAATGCGGATTGTCCTTCCTCGATGACCGATGGTGATCTTCTGAGCAGACAGTTCCACAGCGATTCACGTGGGCCCCAGGCTCACTGGGTGGATGTATTATTATCTCCATTTTACAGATGAGGCCCTGGAGGCCTGGGGAAGTGAAGTCACATGTTAAAGCACAGACAGCGCTTGGAAGGCAGGATTTCTCAGCCCTCTGTGGTCCGGGGCTAGGGCGTACACACTTTTACCGCCTTGGGACTGTGACGGACATCTGCCTCCTGGGTCTGGGGGGGCTCTTTGGGTCATTTTTGTCCCTCGGTGGATTTGTTGAAATTCCAAACAATTGCTTGTCGGAATTCCAGTGGAGACACTCTGGAAAGCCACCAAAGGAGGCGAAGTGTGTTGGACGCTTCGCAGAGGCGTCTGCCCACCCCCACCCCCCGCAGAGTGTACTTATTGCCAGGGGCCTCTGGTGCCCTTTCTACCATCGCGTGCCCAGCTTTTTTGTTGACACGGTTGGCCATTCTGTTGACCGAGCAGGGCTGCGCTCAGCATCTGTCATCATGTTATTGACTCTCAGCCCTATAGGGGCTGGAAGGAATTATCTTCTCAAACAGAGTAATGAATCACACCTCTCCGCGGCCCCTGGAGCCTGACCGGTCGATGCAGTGGTTCTCAAATTGTGTCCCCTAGAACCCTAGTGTTCTATAAAAATACCCCAAGAACTTGTGGGAGGGAAAGGTGAAGGATGAGAAGGGGTCCTGACCCTCTGTTCCTGCCACGTCCTAAGTGGCATCTCTTCATTCTGTTTTATATGTCAGGTTTGAATATATGATATTTGGAAAATCACATTTTGTGGCAAATGTAAACCTCTTATTGAAGCTCACACTCCATATCATTCCTCTGTGCCCTCCTCCCTTCTGCAAGAAAGCAGCATTGGTGGGTGAAGGGTTTCTAGGATGCCTATTGGATACAAGACCAGTGGGACCCCAGCCTCAGCGGTAGCTGATGGGTCAGAAGCCACTCCTAAGAGAAATCCCCCTCCTTCATCTTCTTTGTTTCAGGAGCCGTCTGCAGGAACTGGGGAGGTCCTTCTGTCCATCAGCTATCTCCCGGCTGCCAACCGCCTCCTGGTTGTACTCATTAAGGCCAAGAACCTCCATTCTAACCAGTCCAAGGCACTCCTGGGGAAGGGTGAGTGAGACTACACTCCCTTCCTTACATTCATTTCCATATACTCCCGGGCCAGTCCCTTCATCGGGCCCGGGTCCGAGTCACCTGGAGCTCCCGACCCTGCAGGTGCACGTGCGGAGAACCAGTCTCACCCGTGGGTCAGAGGAAGCAGAGGATCGGACCAAGGAAGCCACAGAGCATAGTACCTGGGCTGTAGAGAGGAAACTTAGCTCAGCCCATTGCCCACACGGGACTGTACTGACCTCACCAGCAGGTGTCCGGAAGGCGGGGCGGTCGTCCCGTCTCAGCTCACCATCCCTGTGTGCCCTGCACCCAACCCCAGTCTCTTCTCTCCTCTCAGTCTTTGTTGAGCTGCCGCCCCCACACCAGCTGAGTGTGGGCGCTGGCAGAAGGTGTGTGGGTGCATGGGCTGAGACGGCCTGAAGCTTAGGGCGTCTGTGCCCCATATACCCAAGTAAGCCTCTCTCCAACATTCCGGGAGCCTCGGTTTTTCCTTCTGGATACCCCAGCACAGACAGACACCCGCCCCCCGAGTCTTGGGGACCAAACAGGCTCTCTTGTCGGAGCAGGAAAGCAGCACTGGTTAGCAGTATGATACCTGGACCCCACGCCAAGTGCTCAGAGCAGGATATAAATAACCAGGTATTTATAGCAGGACACAAAAAAAGAATTACCACCGTGTTCAGAATCTCTGAGCAAACAATTTTGGGCAAATGAAATCAGAAGCTCTGGTCTTGCCTCCAGATCCCCCAGCTGAAGGCCAGAATTCCGTGCCTCCTTTCCTCATCCCCTCCGGACAATTCTTTGCCTCCTGCTCCTTTTTTTTTTTTTTTTTTTTTTTACAGCTCCTGTCAGGACAATTACGACACAACACTTTGTCTCTCAAATCTATCTGCTGAAATAACAAACTAGCCGCATGGGGGTGATAATTATCGCCATAAATACCAAGGAACAATTATTTTCCCATTAGCTTCGGGAACCTTGACTAATGAAAACGTAATTCAGCATCGGAGCCTAGCGAAGTTCCATGCAGGCTTGTCCTGTGACCCGTGCTACTGTCGGGGAGGCGGCGGGGAGCAGCTCTATTGGCCCAGAACCCAATGGGGCCTGGGCAGTCTGCTCTCACCCTCCACATGAAGCCGGGCTGCTCTAGTAATGTTTACAAAACAACAAAGGAGAAGAACTCAACCCATCAGCAGGAGACCTTCTATCTTAATAATCAACAAAAATGCTGGGAGGGAGAACCAAGGGGATGAAGACATGGGGATGGCTTTGTTTTGCTGGTTGAGTTGAAGGTCAAGTTGTGGTACATCGGAGGCACTATCTGGAATCTGGGTTGATGTGGGACACGAAGACTCTTGGAAGGGCTCATAGCAGGTAGTGGTTCCAGCTTGACCCAGTCATGGGCTACCCAGTGACCACCTTGGTGTGTCGTACTATCGTGGGTTTTCCACACTATGGCCTAAGTTCTACGGAGGCAGGAAGTTTTGCTGTAACCCTATGTCTAGTGCCTCACAGTGGGCATTTAATCATTGCTGAATGAATGCGTGGCCCAGTGAGGAGGGTGCTGCCGGCAGAGGGGGTGCAGAGAGAGGGAGCCTTAGGGTACATCTTTAGCCAGGGACCCTGTCTCTCCAGCCCTCAATCAGAGCATTATCCTGGACCGTCCACACCCCACAGGCTCACCTTTCTGTCTCTCTTTCCCCCAGATGTCTCCGTCAAGGTGACCTTAAAGCACCAGGCACAGAAGCTGAAGAAGAAACAGACAAAACGGGCCAAGCACAAGATCAACCCCGTATGGAATGAGATGATCATGTTCGAGCTGCCCGACGAGCTGCTGCAGGCCTCCAGCGTGGAGCTGGAGGTGCTGGGCCAGGATGAGGAGGGGCAGAGCTGTGCCCTTGGCCTCTGCAGCCTGGGCCTGCACGCCTCGGGCTCTGAGCGCAGCCACTGGGAGGAGATGCTCAAGAACCCTCGCCGGCAGATCGCCATGTGGCACCAGCTACATCTGTAGGCAGCCGCCCGGGCTCCTCCCCTTCCGGGCCCCGCCCCGCCCCACCCCGCCCCTCCAGCCCTGCTGTCCTCTGCAACGTCGTCTTTGTGCCCCATCCTCATTCTGACACCCAGGAGACAGATGTGTTTGCAAAGGCTGGGACCCCGTGCCTCTCCTAGTACATAAGTCTCTCCAAAACATGAGCAGGGCGGGGTGGGGCGGTGTGTGGAAACGGGACATTCGGGTGGCACCGAGGAAGGTACGGTGCTCCTCTGTGCTATTGCAGAGACCCTTGTCAAATACAGACCACATGCGGTTTTGGCAGGTGGACTCAGGCCTGATGCAGAGAACGCATAACGTGAAGAAGAATGAGCGCAGAGAATGTGGCTCTTTAAAAACGAGCATTGCAAGAACAGTGGAGGACATAAAGCATCCTGGATCAACTCGTAGAGTTAGGGATTGGGAACGGGAAAGGGTGGAATGAAATCTCAGCCAGCATGACATCGTGCCCCTGACCCATGGCTGTCACCCAGTGGTTCTCGAACCCTAGTGTGTGAAGAATCACCAGCAGATTTCCTGGACCCGCCCGCTGACACTCCAGATCAGTATTCCTGGCCACGACCCCGGCACCTGCATTTTTACCAAGCTCCGTGCGGTTTTGATGCAGAGGTTGGAGCACTGCGCTAGGAGAAATCCCTTCTACAACATTCCAGACAGGTTTCCCCAGTCCTTGTCAGGACTCCCAACACCCTGGGGCAGCCGGTTACGAGGCTGGACATCTCAACCGTCAGTGTGAAATTTAGGAGGCCTCTGGTTTTGTTTTCTTTTTAATTTAATCATTTTAATTCTTAATATTTTTCCTTTGTGCTCTTCAGATCCTGTTCTTGGACTGGACTTTGTGCTTTTTATTGAAGAACTCTGTTGTTTTAACTCAAAGTCCGTTTCTGTTATCCTCGGGGAGATCTTCCTTGACCGGGTGTGGGTGGGATTCCCCTGTTTGTCACGAGGCGCTTGTTGTCACGCCCACCAGCATCACCAAAGTGACCCTCTGAGACAGATTCATCTTTCTCAGCGTTCCAGCCACTGCAGGAGGAACAGGAGGCACGTGTTGATTTAGGCTGTTCTATCTGGCTGCCTACAAGTGGCCGAAGAAGGAAACTTGAAATAGAAAAAAAGTCTTGCGCGAATGTGTCTCCCTTCCTCAATTTTCAGGGCCTGCCACTTTCATCAGTAAGTAACCAGCAACTTGGCTTCAAATTCCTACCTTCTTATTCCAAACAGCTGTCCACGTGGTCACTTAGACACTGAGTCTCGCTGTTGGGTATACCATTTGCCCAGGAACCAGGATTCGCGGGTTCTGTTGTTGGCCGGCTGTCAGATGGGACAAAGGATATGGCAGCTCTGTCTCTGCGAATGATGTGGCAGATGAAAGAGAGCTCAAACACCGGAGGTGCTCTCTGCTAGAAACAAAGCACAGCCCCAGGCAGGTGACCTTTAAGCCTCGTGATGGCAGCTGACAGTGACTAGAAGGGACCAGAACCATCCCAGGCACTTACAGAACTATGGATTCTGCATTCGGGCTCCTTGCTACTGACACCTAAGCTCTGGGCTTTCAAATGTCACCCAGTCCTGTCATCTGCAAGGGAACCCCTGGGTGAGGTGGGTAAGGGCCTGCTTCAGGCCTGTGACGAGTCAGGCCACTCTTGGCCTCTCCCTGAGGATCGGAGCGGGCACCTCATCACCTTTGGTCGTGATTTTCCATCTCTGTGCAGAAGAAGAAAAGCATCCCAAGAGACAGAAAAAATATCGAATCCCTGTTTAATTGGCAAGTTTTTCAGGTAATTGGAGAGTTTGCTCCTTAAGGTTAGTCACCTCCTGCCAACATTTTTTTTTTTAACTTTTTTAGGCAAAGCATTTGTTGGTGATTCCCTATGGCATGTTGCTAAGACTCCCCGCACACTCTGACCTCCTGGTTTTGGCCAGCATGGCCCCAAGAAAACAAAGCATTTCCTCTGGGGGCTGGCCGGTACTCTCTTCTCTGTAACACCCGCCACTACAGTGTAGAAAAGTCTGGATTCTGGACTTAACATCAGGAAACACAAGTTCTGCTTCCTTATAAATCTATTCACCTGCCTCACAGTTACACTGAAGGGTGTTGGAGGTAGACTGAGCCAGAAACATCAGCTCTACAGACTATGGTCTTTCCATCACAGGCATCCATGTCTTTGTGTCTTAAGGGTTTCATTTTCCAGAATCCAGACTCAAGGTTGCCCTGGACAGGAGTCAAGTGCCACCACAGAACAGTGTCGACCACCACCTCACTTAGCGGGCAAGCGCAGGATCGAGGGAGGTCTTGCGTGGGATTTTGTCCATTGTCTTCATTGGGGTGTTCCAAGAAGCTAGAATAAAGCTAGCTGATGGCCCTCAATAAATATCTGTTGGATGAGTTAATAAGTGCAGGATAGATGGGGGACCAGACAGAGAAAGACACTGTAAGTGGTATAAAGGTCAGTCTGCCCTGAGTTCTCCATGGCGAAAGCATCAGCCATCTGATGGCAATTCACAGCCCTCCGTAGACGTGTAATGAACAATAGAGGAGGATATAATTGCTGTGGTTTTCCAGCAGAGCTCTGTCTTGGTGAATTTCAAATTGCCCAGAGACATCAGGCTGCCACATCAACGGACTCGAGGAATCTTCGCGTCTGGGTGCCTTGTACCAGATCCCTTCGCAATTTACTACCAGCTTAGAGTAAGCGGGTCTGGGTGAAATCAACCGATCATTTTTGAAAGGCACGCCTTGTACTTCGCCGGGAGCGTTTTCTAAAAAGGGCATGGAGCGAGGTTAAAATAAAGGGAGAACCCACCATAGACCAGGCTGGGGCCGCCGAGGTGACCTGGTTCTCTCCTAGATACAGCGAAGGGGATAGAGAACTGGGAGCCCACCCTCATTAACCTGTGGCTCCACTGCCCACATCAAATCAGCGTGTATCTGCCAGGTGCCCATTGCTCCAGGCCTCGCACAGGACTGTCCATTTCACTTTGAGATACGATCCTTGGCGTGGGCTGAGGGACCCGTCACTCCAAAGGACACTATGTAGAGAGGGGAGGATGCAGAAGAGGCTCTCCGGGGGCAGTTTCTTGGGGATGTAGAGGAGTCTGAAGGGGAGGAAGCTGCAATGTAAGCCAAACTGAGGCGAAGACCCCCAAAAGAGAGACCTAGTCCTTGTGATCTGTTTCTGCTGCCTGTGTTTCTTGTTGTCAGTGCTAAGTGTGTGTTTGTTTCTCGATCATGAACTGAAGCACAAAAAGACGCATGAGACATTGTAGTCATATGTCTGGTGTCACACTTGGGAGCAAAAATCTCTCAGTGGTAAATAAATAATTTCCAGCGGGGTCAGGGGCCCAGTGTTTTCTTTTTTCTTTTCGCTTCGTATTTGAGACACATCAGATGCACAGACAATAATTTTTTTTTTAAGATTTTATTTATTTATTTGACAGAGAGATCACAAGCAGGCAGAGAGGCAGGCAGAGAGAGAGGAGGAAGCAGGCTCCCCTAGACAGCAGAGAGCCCGATGCGGGGCTCGATCCCAGGACTCTGAGATCATGACCTGAGCCGAAGGCAGCGGCTTAACCCACGGAGCCACCCAGGCGCCCCGCACAGACAATAATTTGATAAACACTCATCATTACCCGCTGCCCAGTTTTAGAAACCTTGATGAATGCCATCGAAGTCCCCTTGGTTTCACTCAGGAGAGCGTCACGTTTCTCTCCACCACGTGTCTCCACCCCTTCCCTCCAGGTATACATAAACCCTGAGCAGCCAAAGAGTACTTTTGCGTTTTAAACTTTATTTAACTTGCATCCCACTATTTGGGCTGCACATGAAAATTTTGAACTTGACCCCTGCAGATCTATGTAGGTCTAGCTCGTTTGTTTATTTATTTATTGACTTACGTATTTGCCGCTCTATCCTATTCCATGGTACGGAGAGGCCATGGTCCTATTCTCTTAGTAACGTACATTTAGAGCTTTCTTTGTTTTTTCTATCATAAGGCTGCTAGGAACATTCTCATGCATGTCCCCTTGTTCCCGTGTACAAGTTTCTCTAAGGTATGTCCCCAAGAGTGAGTAGAATAGCTGAATCAGGAAGGGCTCTCTGTACATAGCTGTGCACGTGTGAGAGTGTGTGTGTGTGTGTGTGTGTGTGTTCATTCTCAAGCCCCCTGGTGGCTTTGCTTGAACACCAAATCCAAGGTCCTACACAGGTGCTGGGATGCCGGCCTTGGTTCTGGCCTCTTGGGGGCTCTGCCTTCATTCTTGAGAAGAAAAATCAGGTAGGAACTAGAGACTTCTTTCTCAGACATCCCCCAAAGAAATACTCCTATCACTGGGAGATCAGTGCATCAGCCAGTGGTTCTCCTGCACTCTAGAAGGTGGACCGGAACAAGGGGACTTCTGGAGGCCTGTCACCCTAGGTCCTCCTGGCGGCTGCCGCAGCCCAGCCTCTGAGGCAGAGCCTCTGGCATCAGGCAGAGGGCAGGGCCTGAATTTTATAGTCAGTAGAGAATTAGCCAGGGCTGATTAAAACCAAAGTTCTCATAAAAGAGAAATGATCCATGAAGAGAGCCATGAGATGTCTTTGCTTTCCAAGTCTGTGTGTGTGCAATTCCTTATTTTATATGCTACACATATTTCTTATACTGTAATGACAACCAGAATTTTTAGTTTCATAATTAAGTAGAAGTTGGTCCTATCCCACAGAGAGCTAAGTATACAGACTGTGTTTCACGGGTAACTATGACTATGGCCCACAGGAGCCTAAAACTAACATCTAAGAGTCCGGAAGAGAGAAGAGTTCATTAATCACTTGATATAGGGCTTTCCACTGAACCGCCTTACATAATAAGCTCTGTCCCTGCATATAAAACCCACTCATGCCTAGAGCACTGCGGGTAGGAGCCAAGAACCTACATCCCAGCGTGGCTGTGTCACTTCGCGGCCTTGGGCAAGTCACTTGCGTTTGGGCCCCCCGTGTCCACGTCTCTGAAATGAATTTGGACCCAATGATCGCTTGCTTTAAGGTATTAGGATTCTGTGACCTAGACCGGCAACGATTTACATTTCATACGTAGTTTCGGTCTCCTGTCTCGTGCATGAAGCAAGAAAACCCACCCACCTGTGTTCCTGCCCTCTTTGCCCTGTGCCTGGGAGGTCCCGCCAGCATCTCTGACAGTCACCCACTCCCTGAGGCGAAACACAATGTCACCTGAGGCTCTGAGTCAGCCTCTCTCCTGTGCTCTACTCTTAATGGAGCTGGCGGTAATTTTCCACCCAAGAATTTCTTTCTTTCTTTTTTTTTTCTTTTTTTTACTGCCAGTTAGAAGCACCACCATTCCAGAAGCTCAGAAGACCAGCATCTGTTCTGTCTCCCTTCCCCCAGCAGACACCTGGCAAGGCTAGAGCCACAGGAGGTGCTACGGATAAACTTAGGCTGTTCGGCATTTTCTTGGTGCGAGTGTTGAAGGACTGCACCCCCTTCTCCCCTCCTTTTCCTCCTGCAGGTGAGCCTGCACAGATGGTCCTTGGCATGAACCTCAGAAGCTTCCCCAAGCCAGAGATGGAGGCAGACACCTCTCTGGGGGGAGGTGAGAGGAAGTCGGTCTCGGGGCTGGAAGCCAGGCGTCGCCAAGGAAACCAGTCTAGTGGTGACCACCGTGTGCTCCAGTGGTCCCGGACGGTTCTCCTTCAGCTGGGTGTGGTCTTGCAAGTGGCCTAGGCTGGAGCAAGGTTTCCCATTCCAGTTTCCCAGCACTCCTCCTTGGTGTTTCAGGACCGCCCCTTGGCAAGTGGGTGTTGGCAGGAATCCTGCTTCAGAAACCCCGGGGGCTCAAGCCAGGGACAAGCAAGGAGAAACTGGTTTTTCCAGCCAAAAAACAAACAAAACTTCTCTGTAGCCCCTTTTTTCTTTAAAAGCCAGGTGGGATGTGCTCTGGTGGCAAAAGGAGCACCCTCAGGGTCTCAAGGCTGGGAGGGGAAAGGTGAACCCCCCCCCATTTAGGCAGAGGCGTCCAAGTCAGCAGGCAGAGGAAGTGTTAGTGGCTATGTATTACAAGTCACAGGCAGTCCCCTCATCCAGGGTAGCTGCAGGAATTCTGGGGGAACCAGGACGGCAGTGGGAAATCACACAGCTTTCTAGCACCTACATCCTGATCTAAGAGGTAACAATATAATGATAATGATGACATATAGCATGTAGTAGCCCACTGCTCTGTGCTGGGCACTGAAGACAGACTCAGATAAGTGACAGCTTGTAAGAGGCAAAGAGGGGACTGAATGGGGTGTTCTCGAACCCTAAGTCCAGGCTCTGATACATGGCCAGTGACCAAGACTCTTCACTGCAAAGGTAATTTAGATGCACTCACAGTGGCTTTCAAGTGTTGCCTAGGACCGTGGACTGAGAATTGCCAAGCTGGAAAGAGCTGGAAAGTTCTCTTTCCTGGGGAAAAGAGGGGACACCTGCCTGCATTGGGAGGGACCATTATTCAAGGGACAAGAGCAAGTTGGAGTGGAGTATCACTCAAGGGAGCACCTCAGGGGCCACCCCGCCAGCATTGTTTAGAGAAGAGGTGGGGTCAAGGTCAGATGTAGCCAGGTTTGTGCATGGTCATCCTGATCAAATGAAGAAACCAGTGCAGAGACAGAGGAAGTGGAAGAATCCAGGACTTCCCCCGGTGGCCAATACAGCATTAATGGGATTATACTTTTGTCAAGGGGCTGCTTAAAGTCATTCGTTCAACCTTTCACTGAACATTAAATACTTACTATGTGACAGGAGCTGCACACAGTGGGATATTAAAAACTCTCCACTTTTCCCTTGTGGGCTTTACAATCTCAAGGGGGAAGACTAGATATAGAACAATCACACACACACACACACACACACACAGACACACAGACACACACAGACACACACACACACACACACACACACACACACATGGTGGCACACAGAGATAATGTCATAAAAGGAAATACCAGGGGGAACACTGAACAGTGCCTTGAGGGTGGCTATCTAGAGAGGGACCCCAAAAGACGAGAAGAGTTGGGGCACCTGGGCGGTTCAGTGGGTTAAGCCTCTGCCTTCGGCTCAGGTCATGATCTCAGGGTCCTGGGATCGAACCCCACATTGGGCTCTCTGCTCGGCAGGCAGCCTGCTTCCCCCCTTCTCTCTGCCTGCCTCTCTGCCTACTTGTGATCTCTCTGTCAAAAAAAAAAAAAAAAAAAAAGACGAGAAGAGTTCAGCCATACAACCATCCTGGGGGAAACCATCCTGAGCGGAGGGTGCGGGGTATTGGGAGGTCCTGAGGCAGAGAAGAGCTTGGTGAGCTTGAGGAACAGAGCAGGGCAGTGTGCCCGGAGCTCTGTGCGAAGGACACAAGCTGAGGCCAGAAGGTAGGCAGGGGCTGGACTACATAAGGCAATGGTCAAGCTCGTGGACTTTGGAATGCACTCCAAGGGAAATGGGAAACCACTGGAGAGGGTTAAACAGAGAGGACACCATGACTAGATCTGTGTTTTCAAAAGATCACTGTAGAAACTGTCCCGTGGGGGGAGCTTCTCAGGTCTTTGGGAGACTGGCCAGCAACCTGAATCTTCTCTCTGAGTTGAACTCAACTTGTCCTTTGCATCTTGGAGAGGGTTGCTGGGGAGCTGCTTGGGAGAAAGGGGAAGGAAGGGAGTGGGCTAGACTTCATGGTCTTTACCCCATCCTCCAAACCCTGCTTTGGGGAGAATGACCTCATGGCCAAGTGCAGATGGACCATCTTTCTGTTCTTTGCTTCCCGGTGATGGAATCATTCACAAACTCCAGACACGGTTGCCAATATGTCAAATCTGGATGGCCAGCCGTGCGGTGCAGGCAGACCCTGGTTCACCTGGGCTGCTCAGACACGGACAGCTAGGCCCCTTTGCTCCTTCCTTTCTTCTTCCCCCTCCTCTGGGAAAAGAAGAGAACCAGAACATTCCATGGGAACTGTGCAGTGGCTTTCACAAGAGCCTCTGATTGACCAACTGGAGGGGATGGGAGGGTCGCAGGCTGGGAGGAAGATGGCAGGCACTAAGAAGACAGAGGTTAAAAAAGGGGGAGAGGGATCGGCTCCTAAAAAAAAGCCAGACTAAGGGAAGCAGACACTGAGAGTAGGAGAGCTCCGCATCCTGAGAAGAAGGAATAAAAACACTTATCTGTGTCTTTATTGAATTTATGCCGATCTTCATTCTAAAACAATTTGGGCAAAGTGCTGCTGATCGCCCATCACCAGGTCAGTGCTGTTAGCAAACCACCGGGGAAATGCTCTTGAGAATCGAGCAAGGCAGTCGGAGGGAGGGAGAATCAG